AATTGAAAAATTACTTATTGATGCCAATTTCTGACCTGAAAAAATCGTTGCAGATTTTTGTATTTATTAATTAAAATAATATATTAATAAATTGTAGGTCACAATGTTTATATCGATCTACTGTATTAATTATTTAGTAATAAACTAAATTTAAGATGTTAAGATATATTAATTAAGATATATTATTTAAGAAATTCGTAAGTTTGTGTGAAAATTATTTACATGGGCCTAATTGCAGTTAATTTATACGGCATTTCGACGGATATTTGTCACAATTGGGCAGAAATTATATGACAGACCCTGGAAACCTGCAGTCGTCCACTGGTACTGTGTGTGTGTGGTATGGCGGAGCAGAGTTGATTGTGTTGAGCGATCAGGTGTTACTATCGATATACTGTCCTAATTATTGGTTAATTAATTGAATTAGAAACTTGACACAGATTTTGATGATTAAGCCACAAGGCGTATAGGCACTTAATAATTGTAAATAAAAAGCATCAGGACCTACTTAAACTGGACCAACAATGTATTCATATGAAAAATACACAAGTTAAGAAAATAAGACATAAAAAAACCCTCGCCCATACCCTTCACATCTCACATCTCCCACTCCACCTCACTGTCCCCTACCTCACAATCCATGCGTATTGGACTTTATACACATGCATGACCCGACAATTCTGTTACAGTAAGACCTTCCTTAATATAAACAGAAGAATAAATAAGGAAAATTTTGTATCAGAATGTGCAAATCAGTTAAAATGTGCACAAGCTACCCCTGAACAGTTTGCAAATTGTTAGCGCATTTTAAAAATACAGTATGCAGCATTGCACAGTTTGCAACATGTGCAATTATCAAGGATTTGCTTGCACAATTTACCAGTTGTGCAAACAGCTCAAACTCCACAACAGTACCATTGGAAAGAGCATTAATATATAACAATATTATACCAAGGCCATTGTCCTCTGTCAAATATTAACAAAGTTTCAGAATTTGCAAAGCCTTCCTGATGGCACCACCACTGGAGGGATGTGCAGGTTGATAACTACAAATCAAATTGGTGGGAAAATGTTAGTAAACTTGTTGCCGGCAATGGGATAGTACTTTTTATTGCCTGTGCATGTTTTCTCGTCTGCTTTTTGCATAGGTTGGTATACTACATGTTCAGAGGGTGCCTCCACTCGTGCAATTTGGTGTAACTGCCGGCAACAACACAACAAACAAACATGCTTTATTTGTATGTTATCGTCTAGGTTTATCTTCCCCGAACTGTAAACTGTTAAGTCTGTGGTTTTACAATGTATAACAATGAAGTAATAAATGCAAGAATGTTACCCTGGTTTTGATGAGCATAATTTTCCCTAGCGCCCTCAGCAGCACCCTGTGGGAGGTGTATACATGAACGTGTTATAAAGTATTAAAAATTGGAGAGGCAAACAATATGTTCTATGTCAATTAGACAAGGAAGGCTAGACTACTTTAAAATATGGCTTGTTTAGAAGTCAGTTAATGTACCCTCTCCTCAAAACTTAAACCTGGAAATATGTCTGTGCATTTCAGAAAATAAGGGCTGAATTCTGCAAAAATTTTGCCAAAACTTGACTTTGGTCTATCATATACAACCTTGAAGTATTATGCAGTAGTTACGATTCTGTACACATATTTTCCTAGCAATTTTCTTTACTAATTTGAGGTTTTGATGCATTCCTGTGCAATTAAAATACTTTAATGTACAGTATGACAAGCAACAAGCATAATACTAAGTTTAACAAACTTTAATGTTCTAGTTCACACTGAGCATTATTATTTATATTAACCATTCTCAAGGAGAACATATTTATTTGTAAAATATGGATAGTGTATTTTATTCTAATAAATAAGAAGAATCAAGTGCGATCTATGGACCATGAGTATGCAACTAAGGGCAAATCTTCTAAATGTTCTAACCCTAACCCATTTGAGATCACATTTGACCTCAGGTCTGCATATGTGTGGTCCAGGCATCACACTTTGTCCAATTACACTACACAGCAAAATTTCAAAATTACTGCAATTTTCTGAATAATATTTTCAAGTCTTCCTATCTGTAATTCTAAACAATTTTATTAAACACGCCACTGGTAACTACCATTGGTAAACCATACTGTACTTGATCATAACGTCAAAAAAGAAAAACTGTTTATTCCCTTTGCCAGGCTGTGGATGAGGTGTTGTTTTTGTTCTCTCACATTTTTGGCAAAGTTTTCTTATTTTGGAACCATTATTGTTAATTTTATCAAATTCATTTATGCAAATGACAGAAACTTAAATCAGAGGGGTGTGCACAGGTCTGGTCTCACAAACTCAACCCAACTTCTGTACATTTCAAGACTTCCCATCAATGATTTTTTATGGTACAACAGAGTTGTATCTTTCCTCATGTAGGTATGAATATGAAACAACAATTTAACTATTTATAAAATTTTTGTTGGGGGGGGGGAGGTGGCATTGGCCAAATTGTCATGACCACACAAAGGTGTTGGGTGGGGGGGTGTTCAAGCTGGCACTAATTACCTGAAATCAAAATTTAAACCACTAAGAGAAGGACATCCATTTTCTTAAAATGTATGTTTGTTGCTATTTCTTTGAAGAGGAGCCATTTTTTCAACCATTATAGAGCTGAAGTAGGTATGGTACAGTATCTAGACCACTTCCATTAACTTTAAATCTTGCTACCCCTGCATGGGGGTTGGAATATGGGTAACTGCTTTCCAGATTACCAGCTGCTATTTCTGGATATTTAGAAATAACATCAGGCCCACAATGGTGGGGCTGAGCTAGGTATGAATTCAATAGCCTAACAAACCTTAATGTCGTGTCTGCCTCTTGAGAGGGAGGGGTAGCAGCTCTACAATTGCCAGCTGCTTTTTTAGGCATCTAGAGGAGACTTCAGGCCCAACCATGGTGTGACTGAGGTGGGTATGAACTGTAGTACCCACTAACTTTAAATCTTGTGTAGCCAATGTACAGGATGGGGAGGGTAGAGGCTCTACAGTTTTTTGCCAGCTGCTATTTCCGGGCATCCAGAGATGCCATATTTCCAAAATATTCTCACCTCAGACTCAACCAATGTGAAGCTGAGGTGGGTATGCTATCTTAAAGTCTTTTGCCACTGCCCTTTGAGGGAGAGGAGTAGCAGGTCTACAGGTTGAAAGCATTTAAATTTAACTTTAAACCCTGTATCTGTGAGGGGTAGCAGGTCTGCATTTTAACATACCAGTACTATGATGACCGGACCACTTGCAAAATGCTTCTGACGGCTATGTATTTTGATTAATTTTAATAAAAAATAATAAAACAAATGTAGGATGACAGCAAGGCAGAATTGAAGATGTACAATTTTACACAACTGTGCCTATGCTGTTCTATGCAATGTACAATACTCTACCTACAGTACACATCTACAATGAATGTATTTAGTAACTTACATCTGTAGTACCTTATCATACCCGAATATATAATTTCTTATGTTTTCCAACTCATTTTAACATTTTGGTAATTTGCTATTTTATTCAAAATCAAAGAGAAACATGTCCAGTAGCAGGTTAAAAACAATGTTACTATTTTTTATTAACTTATCGTAATTTTTAATGTTTGTTATTTTACCGTTCCACAGATATCATATATATTGGCTCTATTAATAGCCAACACTTAAGCTTGTGCAAGCTTTTCCTGAACCATGGTAAACCCGTCTTGTGCGAGAAGCCACTTGGCCTGAATGCAGATGAAGTCAAAGAAATAACTGATCTAGCTAAAGAGAAAAATCTTTTCATGATGGAGGTACAATAAATATCAATCCATCTTGATTTCATTCAAAATCATCTTCATTCATTAAATTTCCTTTCATTTTCAGTTGCATCTCCATTCATTATAGCTCATTTCATTCATTGTTCGTTTCAGGTGAACATTTTTCCATTCGGCTTCAGTAGTAATCATTCATTATTTTGGCAGCATTGTTCTCTGATATCATACATTATTTTTACACTACATAACTTTTCCCTCATCAACTCTACATCAATTCTTTTATTTGCCACGCCATGTATAAATTGGCTTGAGGAAAACACAGCCAAACTATAGGTTTGTAGAATGGACTTTGGGGTTTTGTTGCTTTTCCCACATAAAATCAGTGATATTTTTTTAGATGTTTCCTCTTTAGAATCACATCTAGGATTTTGTAAATGGGAGGAATGATGCCTATTCTTTCCAAAATCCCTATATATTATTCAAAATTGCCATGTCTCCCGGATATCTTCACTGGTTCGAGCCCGCCCAGGGTTTGGTTGGTAGAACCAAGCTTTCATGGATAAAGATTTAAAATGGGCGTCCAGTGTACACATCTGGCTCATGTGCACTTTAAAGAACCCATTGCTATGGTTCATTTCAGCCCCTGTCTTTGTGGAATGATGTGAACTTGTAGGCTCTACTGTAAGCACTTTGTTATGTTGCCTATTTACTGGCAGTCCATGCCCATATGCAATTCAGCACAATAACACTGTGAGTTATGGGTTATTCTTCTATTTTATTCTACTTTACTTCACTCTTTAACTACTTTTAATTGACTTTTCCAAGCTTGTAACCTTTGGCTATAGACTGTCTACCACCATTGTCTGTTTTAGTGGTTAGTGGATTTTTCAAAGCGCTCTTCTTTGAGTTTGACTATTTTCTTATATTTTTATTGACGGCTTTGTTGGTATTGTGTAATGTAAAAGAGTAATTTTTAAGTGAATTTTTGCCTATGCATTACCACATTCTCTTACATGAGTCATTAAAGTTTTGATATACAGGTAAATAAAAAATGTTTAAAAAAATTTGATACCTGAAATTTTCAACTGTGTACTACAATAAAAAAAAACATAGTACCGTATTACTAACACTAACTTGGTTGTGACTTTTAGTTACCAAGTAGTGCCCAGCATAGTTTTTTTATCTATGTTCCACAAGATACAATTCATTTGCAGAGGGCGATAGTTAGATTAATGTTAACTATACTTCAAATTAAATGCATTGTAATATCTTATGTTTAGCGCACTTCCATGAGACAACCGAACACAGCTGGTGCACATTATGACGACTTCCATCTTTACTATTGGAGTTACGTATTTAGAAACAGGACTGTGCTCTCTTTACTTTCTGTGCTCTGTGTTGAAATGCACACTTTCAGCCACATTTTTGGGTTCAAATCTAAAAGAACTTCACAATCCTGGTCCCCATGCACTAATCTTTTTAAGATTACCAACCTGACTCTTATACTTGCTAAACCATCTAAGTTTAGCAACTACCAAGATGAGATGAGTTCCTTTTTTTCCTTTCTAAAATAAGAAAGTAGATGTAAAATAATTTGACATATTTCTAGTATGTTAACTTTCTTCACAATCTTCTTGTCCTGGAAACATAAAGTGAATTGAATCCAGAATTTTATTTCTTTCAATAACTTTATATATCTATATTCAATCTTAATTGCTATAACATTTTCATAATGTGATCTTCATATCTAGAAACTTAAGCAATAGTTTTTTGTACCTTGTTCAACAAATCCTCATCTTACCGATATGATGATGTCAAATATAAATAATTTTTGGCCTCATAATAATAATGTCTGTTTTTTTACCAAAATTTATTTCAATTTTGTTTTCGAACCCCTCTTTCTTTTGATGATTTTTCAAAAATAAAAAAGTTGCTGAACAAGGTATAAAAAATTCTTTTCTAAAATACATGATTGAAACAATGATTTCATTTCATTTCTTAAGGCCTGTTTACACTTCAACGATAACGATAGCGATAAAAAAAGCTAAAAAGCGATTGTTCATATAAAAAACAAAAAGAAATAAGAGAAGTTTTTAAACTAGGACGATTCGATAATGATTTATCGTGTATGCAATAACAAAATATTTAAACAAATCAAATCAGATGACATCATAATCATGGACAAATGATAAAATCGTTGCTACTATGACAATTTTAATGTTTTCCATGATTATGACGTCATCTGATTTGATTTGTCAAAATATGTTGTTATCTCATAACCGATAAATCGTTATCGAATCGTTCTAGTGTAAAAACTTCTCTTATTTCTTTTATTTTCTATATGAACAATTGCTTTTTAGCTGTTTTATCGTTATCGTTGAAGTATAAACAGGCCTTTAGCCATATCAAAACCAAAGGGGAGTTATTTCATATATTTCATTATGCAAAGCCACACAAACCCAACAAGAGGGGAGATGGTTTAATTCATTATTATTATTATCCTGGACACCATTTGAATGTTAATTTGGAAAAAAAAACTAAAAATAAAAAAATAGAGTACTGTATGGGATGCCAATTACATTTGCAAGTTTGTAGCTGTAGAAAAATTAAGAGTGTGTGATAGACATTTTAAGGGTGGGTAGGTGTTAACATAATAAACTCTAAATAATACAAGTAGATTATTAAGGATGGAAAAGTGGGTTAGTAAAAAAAAAATCACAGTAAAGTAGTTAAAAGTCACCTAAAATCACCTTATTTTCCAAATTACTGCCCCAACTGATCATCAGGGGGCCCCACTTCACCTTCGTGGCACCCCCCCCCCATTAGCATCCCATTTCAAGACTTCTACATATGCCACTGATCAGATTGAAGCAAGGTGTTTGTGGTCTATGGGCCTGTTTCTGCTGAGAATAAAAACACAGGTTTTTAAACGGTTATTCAAAAACACGTTTTTCCCCCAGTAGAAAGCACCCCCTTACTAAAGCCCAAGGTGGTGCTTTCTAAAAGATGAGTGAGAAGAAACAAAATTAAGGAGGAAGGGGGAAGAGAGAATAGAAAATGGTATTGAAACGCTGCACGGTACCTCTATAAAAGCCCCCCCATTGGTCTGGTCAAGTGGCCAAAGTTTGTCGGGCAGTTGGACTAAGAACAAAAAGAAATAGATTTGAACTCGTCACTGAGGACGAGTTTGGCAATCCGCCGTACTTTGACCCTCACGAAGCACGCACGGTGCTGATTGAAAATTATTATATGCTAAAACATGCTCTATTTAGTTTTAAAAAAGAGTAATTTTAAGCATTTTGATGACTTACGAATGTGTACACATACGTCTTAACGTCCGTGCGCACGGTAATAATACTAATACAGTGTCACAAACCCAAAACATGTAACCAAAACGTAATTTCCAGCTTCAGTGCGTGCTATTGGCGTGGAAATGCAGGGGCGGATCCAGAGATGTCCAAAAAGGGGGGGAGGGCGAAATTTGGCCGATCGAGACAACAATGTCCTTTGTGTTCTAGACGCCCGAAAATAACATTTGTGGCGTTGTGGGCTATCATTTTTTTTCTTTTTCTTTTTTTTTTCTTTTTATTTTTCCTTTTTTTCCCTTTTTTTACCTCCCAAAAGGGGGGCCTCTGAAATGAGCGTACAGCGCATAAATTATGGAAAGATTTGGTATACTGAAAATGACCTGAAACGTGCTTTATATTATCTGAAAAGTGATATTTAAAAATTTTAAAATTTTAACCCACAAGTACGAATACCTTATACGATATGCCCGAGGACGGTAATGGCACATGAATTTAAACCTTGTCAAGTTTAATTTAAAACCCCCTGTTGG